AGTGGACCCGCCGCCGTCCGTTAAGCCCCGCGAAAAGGCGCGCATTGGTTCCGTTCCTTCCCGTGCCGACCGAGGGAACGACCATAAACCAAGCGTCGGCCATGTGTGTGACCATAGCGTGAGGAGAGAGAGGGAGAGGGGGAGAGGAGAGGAGGGTGACCTTGGCCACGCCGCGGCTCAACGCACGCCGCAGGGTGATAGGCTGGCCGAGCGAGAGGGGGAGAGGAGAGGAAGGTGACCTTGGCCACGCCGCGGCTCAACGCACGCCGCAGGGTGATAGGGTGGCGTAGGGTGGGCCCGAGGCAAGGGTTTGCCACGGGTCCAGCAACCTGTGCGAGTTACGCCCCTTCCTTATCACACTTTCTCCGCTCCGCCACGGCCGTGTGGCCGCGCGTCCGGCCGGGCCGCGGGCCGGGCTCACACTCTCACACAGAGCTATCGGCTGGCCGTCGTGGCGCGACAGACCCGCGACGCGACTCGCTTTGACCAAAGCCACTTGCACTTTCACTGTCTCTGTGCGAGGCGAGCGGCAGGTCCTTATCAGTGTGTCCACAAGCGGCCTCCGGGGACACAATGGCGTGTCGCAATGCTCGACGCACAGCCACCGGAAGCTTCACCAACGAACCGGAGAGAGTCATATTTTCAGGCCGAGCATCTTTGGGAGTGGAGCTGTGCTCCCACATAATTTGGCTCTTGGCATTTTCCATTTTCCATATGCCGAACCAAAACTGTGAGAAATTTCATGACTTTCCACCGCTTTCCACACACGTCCATGAAACTTTATAACACCAAAACTTGTGCGTCATCTACATTCGCTACACATCCGAATTTCCATGAAAATATATTTCTCCCTGATGTTCCAGGATTTTCAAACTTTGTGGGAACCGTGTGCTCCGTTTTTTATTGCAAACATCGGCGAGCGGCAGTGGAAGGAGTGGGTCCCTGTCTGCGCCCGACGGTCTGATGCGTCCCCGACCTCCGCTAAAAGAGGCCCCGGAGGGGTTGGTTGGTGGGCGATAGAAGAGGGGGGTGGGGGTGGAGGGAGGGGGAGGGAGCGGATGGAAAGCGTGGGGAAGGGGTAGGCATGCTCGGGGGCAGCCACGTGATGCTGCGTCCCAAGGCCGTGGTGTGGAGAGGAGGGGGGGGGGGCGCTCCAGCTAGGGGATGCGAGGCTCCCGCCGGGGGGTCACTGCGACGCACTGGCGCCGACCCGAAAAAGCTATTTGGCCACGAGGGTCACGATTCACTGCTGCGCAATATACGGCAGCAGCAGCACGGGGCCTGCCACAGAGGCGCCCAGCGCTCTCCATGGAGCGCCGCGTCCAGCCTGCTTATCGTGTAGTGCAGCAGATAAGCCGGGGGCGCGCAGACGCACGTCCAGCAGGTAAATGATTATCTCCGGACAACAGCGCAACCGGCGCAGGCGCACGCCGTGTGAATGCAGCGCCAACACTTTTCCATATCTGTCTATCACTCACGCCTCACTCCATATCGGTATCCGGCGCACCGGCCCGCCCGGCCCGCCCTTACGCTTGCCAGACCATAGCATCGGGCTGGGCGGATCTCAATTACGTATCTCCGCGTATCTCAGATAAGAGCGCTAATAACTTTAGGAGGACTTTTTTTTCCATTTCCCGTGCGCGTTTCCAAGGAGAAGTACACGCTAAACCTTTATGCGTTTCGTTGTGCATAAGCATGCAAAATTTTATACAGCCACAAATTGTATGCATAATTATGTTCAAATTGTGCATGATTATGTACAAACTGTTCAAAGTTATGCATAAAATTATGCACAATATTAGGGCTGTATGCAATTTTGCATGTTCATAACACAATGCATAAGGGTTAAGCGTGTATGTTATTACACAAAGAACGAAAATATTCTTTTTATGACCAATGGTCTACACCAACAACTGCATAACAGTTTGCTATTCGTTGGTCTAGAAGTAAAAAGTTCTACAGTTACAACTGGCAAACGTTCAGTTTCAACTGGCAAACTACTACACACTAAGATTAGCAGAATATTTTATCAGCAATAAGGCCAACCTTATCAGTTTCGTTGTTCCTCATCCCAAAAATGTTTGCTTTCCTACAACTTTTGTGGGCTATAAAATTTCAGCGCGGAGGCGAGTTGTTCCTTAGGATATATCAAGCGAACACGCCAGCAACGAAGGTACTTTCCTCGCATAGGTTTTCAAGAAACGAACCCAGGAAGGAATGGAGACTCCCCCACCCCCTCCCCCATGGCAGGAAAAGGGCGGTAGGGCTAGAGCCGTCGCCACATACGCTACGCAGTGCTTTAATTGTCCTGCCACCTCTGAAGGTGACCCGCGGGACGCGTGGGTGCGAGAGAGACGGCAGTAAGACGCGGAAGGAGGCCCAGCAGGGCGGCAGGGCCCACAGGGCCCGTGAGCGTATTACTGGAATGGAGTGGCGGCGCGGCAGTCACGGCCCACAGCAGTGCCGTAGCGTAGCACCCCGAGGGCGTTACGTATGCGGGCAAAGCGGCACAACAGTGGCAGCGACACTGCTAAAAGGTCTGTTCCGTTTCGCCATGCCGCGAGCGCCGGCGGCAGCGCTTTGGCCGAGGAGGAAATTACTGCGCGAAATACCCCTACGTGCGCGCGCCGTGCGGTGCAAGGGCTTTGTCCCATGACGAACGATTCGTCAGCCTTGTAGACCTGCGAGGTATTTCCTCGCAGTACAATCATTCGCAAGGTTCCCCGGGTTTAGCGTTTGGCCTCCTTACCATCTTGAGCGTCTCCTCGGGCCGCAGCAGGTAGAACATGGACTGCAGGTGCTGCTGGATGTCGCACCGGGCGGCGCGGTCCGTGCGGGTGAGGCGGTCATGGCAGGGCAGCACCAGCGCCGCGCCCTTGCCCGCGAAGTAGCACTCGGACAAGCTGCAAACACAACAACGACGGCGTTAAATACAGCAATTATTGAGGAGCAGCATCTTCTTCTTTATCGTCTATTACTTAATTACCACTATTTTGAAAAGAAAATTGACTAGAGACCCTAAAAAGAAAACGTTGAACCCGCGGCTACGGAAAGCTACTGGAAACCTGACCGAAAAACCTTTGCGCCCTTCTGCCTCCTGGAGTCGTCCTGTAATGGTCCTGGAGCCCTCCAGGACCCCTGCAGGTTGTTTATAGAGTGTGCCGCGCAGAGCAATGACGACCACATTCTGGAGGGCCGGGCGGACGGGTTGCCTTACGCAGGCTGGAGCCGCTGGACAGGCCGGCCCGAGTGGAATGTGTCTCCATCTGACGCTCCGCGCTGCTGCCGTATCGTCATGCAGCCCATCGGCAATACCACGCCATCATTACCAACTATTCATTTATTTGATAATGTTGCTTTTTTAAAGCGGTACGACATGCGTTTTTTTGGTTTGAGACATTAACATGTTTCAACAGAAAAATATTTGCACGTCCGGAATAATTATTATTTATGCATGTAGGCGTGG